ATAAATGGTAGAATTAGTATTATTATGAATAGTGATTTGGGAAAAATATATATGTAAGAGATCACGGCGTAAGCATAAGAACTTGTTAATATTACCCCGTTATTCCTCCATGGAAACGTAAAAAGCATCAAAATGAAACTGTACTTGTGCCACAGACGAAACACCATGCATCCATCACGTTGTTTTACTACGAATGGAAATGAGACACTAATTACATATATGCATGATATCGACGATGTAGCTTAGATGCCTTTCGCCTTTTCTGCAGGGGAATGCTACGATAGTATCCCCGACCAGGTTTCCTTCAGTATGTCTACAAATAATATTTCATAATCATTGCACCATAACTCACTGAACACACACATTCAGGCACTTGACAAAGATTCAAAACAGCTACATCCTGACTAACATGCCGTACTGGCTATTAGTATCGTTCTGGATTAATCTACAATCAATGCCACAAAACACGTATAATTCGTGTTACACGGAAAGTAAATTACATTCTGCGTTCTTTCATGTCTGCAGTCAAGTGCAAATGAGTTTCCGACTCATTATGTTTTGCATAATGATTGCGGCCGGTTTTTCAGTGAGGTTGCGTGTGATTTCCCTTTGACCTCAGGAAGATTTCCGTGGTATCACTCAAATAGGTCGACAAAAAAGCAGAATGTTTCGTAAAGAAACGCATTTTAATTGTATACGTGCACCAAATAAAACAGATCCATGAAAATAAATGCTAAAACGGGAATGTCTACATAAGGATGTTATTTTTCAAGTCCACCATTAGGTAGGCAACTTCGCCAAAACGTTTCACATAGAAGCCACGTTATTACTGCTATTAACCTAGCAGCATATTCTTTGATTCTATACACACAAAATAGCTATTTAAAACTATTTCGAAACATCTGCCTCGACATTAGGCCAATCAGATTTCCGTGCAAATATAGTGTCTTTCCAAAAAAATCGACTTTTAAAATTTGACACTGAAATATTAGGCCTGTGACACTCTGTTCAGTGGTCCTCCCTTAACGTGAGAGACAAATTTCACACTCAGAATAAAGAACAGTTAGAATTACAGTTATATACATTTTAATCTTAAATATATAGACTGCAATCGGGAATACGAAATATTTTGAACTGCGTGGTAGTAAGCATTCCATCAGTGGCAAATGAGCACAAAACATACCCGAGTCTACCCTTGGTTGCAAACAAGGAAGGCACAGAAGAGCAGGTCCTAACTGTAGGACGACACTTTGGCAACCACTGTGATAATATAACATTGTGGATATTAAATGGCGAAGTACGAAGTACCGGTTGTACTTTACCTTAAACACTGCACTGAAGATGCCAGCCACTTCGACGCCGATTTTCGAAATGAATACAGGGATCACTCGAGTGCAAGTGCCGTTAACTTTGGAAATGTCACTCCGTGTTCCAAAAAAATAAGTAGATACACAAAACACGAGATTCATTAGACGACTTTCTGATAGCACAGCAGTCGTCAAAAGGGTAAACGTCACAATGGAATGTCATTAGCTGCAGTTTCATGCGCTGTTTACGTAACGCATGATCCTGGTGAGAGGAAACAGAGTAAAAGGAAAAATGAGAGTAACAGAGAAGCGAAGTCTAACGAGTCGCTTTAATTACTTATTTTCTAGCTCTTTTAAAACCTCTCTTCTCTATATTTTTATCCCCTTTTCTTTTCCGTTTAGGTCGACTTATACGTGACTCCTCCCTCCCCGTCCGGTCCCTCCCCCCACCCCGAATGATGTGTACCCAAGGGATTTTCATCACAATTTCGAGTGCCCTTTTATATATGCGTCGGATCATCCTCCCTCCAGCCAACTCATCACAGAGTCGTGCTCTTTTGTATCTTCTGCTCCAGCGTTTGAGAGAGAATAAGCTTACAAGGCAAATTACAAAAACGTTTAAGCTCGTTGAAGAAAAATAACTAGCATCATCACGAAAATTTCTGTCTTACTCTGCGCGATGCAAAAGTCACAACTGCCAAAAGAACTAATTCAGTGTTATCTTCTCGGATTAGGTAGAAAATGTCCATAACGTATTTGAACTATGAATAAAAACAAATTATGTAGCAAAATTTAGTCCAGAATTTCGAGTTTTCTTTGTTTAGATCTTCAATGAAATTATTACTGATATTATTAACTGCAGGAAGTAAAGTAAAAAAGGATTTACTGGTTTCTATGCTAAGATTCTAATTCAAAACGTCATAATTATGATTGATTAAATATTCTTAAGCTATTTAAGGTCCGTAGTTTGCGACCAAAGATTAGGCCATTATTTGTTGGATAACGTGAGTATGACAACAGAAGGTGAACAATTGATTTGTGGTATTCCGTATCCAGGCCGAGCTCCGAATGGAAAAAAAAATCCGAAAACAAGTCTACATAGACACTAAACTACTCGGTCACAGTTACGAAGCAGGATTGCCAACCAACACATTTTAACGTTCGGTATAATAGTTTTGTCTTTCAAACACGACAAAAGTTTGTCAGTAGCGACATGACCTTCCCACTCACCTTTATTAAAATCTGGCCAATTCTTTCAAAAGTTGCACAGATACTCGTATACTGTAAAGCGTCATATAATACAGATTTTATTTTCTGTAAATACGCCTGCAAATCACGAACTTCAACATGATAGTGGGTCCGATGATGAACATATTTAGGTACGTATGAAACCCGTTCTCAGTAACGGAGGTGGACAGAATAACAAACAACCTTTGTGAGCTTGTAGCATGTCGTGGTCTGCTTGTTAGTCTCCTACTAAAATCTGCTGCACAATAACATTAGCTATCAATTAGGGAGAGTACCAGTGCGTTGCTATGGTAACCGAGTGTGATAGCCCAGAACACGACACAACTCCTGTACCAGGACAACAACACAATCTCCCGGATGCAAAGCGACGCTGGGGAAAAAGCTCTTCACATACACCTACACCAATCACGACGTTGCATCTTGGTTGTTGGCTAATGAATAGAGACGATGGCTAATTTGATATCATGCGCACTCTTTAGTCACATAGGACAGAGCCGTAGATAGCTTAAGCACCACAAGATAATGATATTCAGGATTAATCTTCAAGTGTTCCTAACTTCGGCAAGGAAGTGAACAACTTCACTGTCCAGCCACTTAACCTGCGGAAAGAAATACCACCCCAGACTCCCAGTACCCTCTTTGAGTGGGCCCGAGGCCGGTCTGGAAGTGGAGACTATCAGAAAAATCCCAGACCCTGCCCAAACTGGAACCCCGTTGGTCAAGTCCATAGCCTGCCCCGTATTAAGCTATACCGGCTGCTCTTAGTTTTCAATAAGTCCTACTTTCAAACGTGGTACAGTTTCTCGTATTTCATTTTCCATACCGTTTTACAGAATATATGGTCATGACACGGGGCCAAACATTGTCCCTGTGGCTAATCATCGTATTATTCTGGTCTGGTCTGATTTAACAGATTCTGTAAAATACACTTAAAATTGAAGATTGCTGTCTTCTGGGTTATTGCGCCGTGTAGTCTGGTATATATTCACACTACACGGTGCAACAACTCAGAAGAAAGCAATCTTTAGACTCACCGCTGTGAAAAACTCAGATCCTACACTCTTAAAATTAATGAAATATTATATTTTAGAATTACCGTATTATTATCCCATCTATTCACCACTTTATGGGGTATGTACTTTCATGTACCCGAGACAGACCTTGTCCCTAAGGTACATAGGGCAGCAGCTATTCCGGGATACATATTGTTTTTAGCAAGTGCAACATGTATTATATAATTTTATTTTATGAAAGCGTCTTTCGGATGATGTATGAAGTTCCCTGATGTCGTGTTCACCCGGGATGTTGGCCAAATATTTTCTGACGGACCTGGAGACAGTTCCTGTTGCTCCTATAACTATTGGGATTATTATTATTATTATTATAGCAGGAGTCAATTTGTGCATCCCTGAAAAGCAGAATCAGGCGGGCTACAGCAAAACTTGTGACTCTCGGTATGTCTACCCGAAGTCTCCCCTTTCCATCCCATCCAACAAGCGGAGTGAACTGGGCCTCCCAGTCATATAAAAGCACAAAGTGTAGATATAAATCATATATAATATTATTATACCAAGTTATTTATGGATGTTGGCATAGGAATAGAGCCTGGAGTCGGAAGATACGGCGAAGGAAACATTCTTCGAGACGCTGATTGGTCCTTTAAGGAAAAGACACAACGGGGAAAAGACACTGTAAGGAAAAAAGTTGAAATTGAATTTTCTTACATTGCATTTCATTTAATACGTCGTGCCGCTAGTTTATCTGATCTCTTTACCTTTCTTACTGAGTATACTAGAAATAACCTAGGTAAGATTTAGGGTAAGCACCTCCGAAACGTCGAAAACTTTTACCAGACTACACAGTGCAACATCCCAGGAAACAGTCAACTAGACAAATAAACTCATTTACGTAAATATACTAACTTTGCTAGAACTATAAAACTCAAATTAAAATTAAATAATTCCTTGACACTTAACTGTGAATTCATAATTGAAGTTACCAGTAATGGTAAAGATTTTCTCGAAAAATTGTGTGGCAAACATTCTCAAGGTTAATGAAATACTCGATATGTCAGACAACAGAAATAATTGCAGGTCGGTTGTGTGAAACAATAGACGGAAAACTGATCAAAAACTTTTTGCGTTATAAATATAGTTTTTATGCTTTTATTCACAACTATCTATAGAAGAAAGAAGAACACAACGAGGGACAGCCTTAAAACGGGTCTAAGATTTACTTAGTGACGAAACAGAGATAGAAGAAAAGTTGTTAGAAGTCCCACATTTGTCAACAAAGACGCCAATTATTAACCGGGGCTTCTTTTAAAACAAACCATACTAAAATAAAGTGTGTGAAGAGGAAATATTAATATAATACCATAATAACACGTTTAATATAGTTATTTTTCACTGAAGATGTTCACAAGACAATGACAGATGTACTGACCTGAGGCGGGGAATGTGGGCTAGTTCCTTGTCCGAGGAATCCTGCCAGCGAATCTCGGGTGGCGGAGTGCCATGAGCTGAACAGCTGAGCATCGCACCCGTTGAGTTGGAGAACTCCAGCCACGATGGCGGTTCTTGGAGAAAAACGGGACCTTGGACGTGAGGTGGCATTGGTGAGACACCTGTAAAAATCCCACGACAGCTCACAAGACGAAGTTGCTAGCTTGTTGTCTCATGGTCCTTGCATTCAGACTTCATTAGTTATTCAGCTACTACGGAAGGACTGCCTGTCCGCGGATTAAATGTCCCGACCGGAGATTTGTTAAGGTGCGTCCAGACATTCGTACTCGTGGTACAGAGACCCGGGGTGACCGTTGCCCTGTGCATGTGTGTCCACGAATCTACCATCACTCGAGCGAACTCTCGGGCCCATGGCTTCAACCACATTTACGGACGCACACGAGACGGAGTAGGAACACGAGTAGTGTGGACGCACCTTAAGGACACTCAGCAGGGTAACACATAAAATAAGAAAGTGGGTAAAATTAGTAGGTGCAAGGAAAGATGGAGTCGGAGAAGGGGAATGAGGCAGCAAGAGTACGAAAATATGGATAAAGAGGAAAGAATAATAGAAAGAGGAGGGAACAGAAGGATGATAGCTTAAGCAGAGGAAAAAAGTAAATGTTAAGAATGAGGCATTAAAAAGGAGAATGCGACAAGACTCGGGAGGATAAAGTAAATGTGAAAAATAGAAGACCGAGGAACACAATAATTATGAGAAGAAAACACAACTACTGGAGCAGCATCTCCTCATCACTTCATAAACAGTTATACAACTGATACAAAAGATGCTTTCTCTTACCCTATAGGCCATCAAACATCCAACCATTACACTCTGTACTGAGTGAGTCCCGAATGATGAAGGTAAGAGGAAGAACAAGGAATAACATTTCGGAAAGACAGATGAAAGGCTAAGAGGACAATTCAGAGAAAAGACGACCTATCACTAGAAGAGATCAAAAAGAAGTAAGAATGATGAAGAAAGATAAATAAAGCAGTAGACGAAATACAGAGACTAGAAAAAACTGCAATTAATATGAAGGCGACATTAAAATAAGTAACTATCAAATCGCCCTTCTAACCAACTCCAAGTCTGGGACTCAAGACATGTAAGTAAGCAACTGGCATAATCAAATTATTTGTTTGAAGTCAGATATCGCCGTAGTTGTTCATTAATCCGCACAGCACAAGAAGAGCTGTTTAAAGTAGGTGATACGAAAGCGATCAAGGGTAGACGAACGTTTCTTCCGGGTGAAGACTGATGAATGCCCTTCCCCCCCATCTCCTCCTTTTCGTAGCCCCAGGAACCACTCAATCTTAAGAGTCGATAGGAGCGCTCAGCCGTGCTTCCAGCAAACAGCAAGCCAGGCTTTTTCGAGCTACACTTACCCGCCAGTTCAAGTTTCACGAGCCTCTTAAGAAATGTGTATACGTTTGTGGTATTTATGATATGGACGTGGGTAGATGCTATCTTGAGCGTTCACAGTGAAACAGGAAATTTGTTCAACGGGTGAATATCATTTGAGCAACGAAGGCTCTGTATCGCGGTGGATCTCGCGTTGCTGTTTCCTAGTTTATTTAACGACGCTACCTAGTTATTTAGAGTGCCAAATTAGTTTTATTGTGAATGGTGAAATGAGAAATAGTAGCTGATAAATTATTAGAAAATGTAACAACTTTCAAAAGAAATAGAAACCGATCACGAAGAAATTAAAGGCAGACCAAGTTCGGAAAATGTTTTCTACTGTTCAGCATACAAAATTTCTCTTGTCGGCTGTTGTCTAAAAGGGGGAAAGATACTCTTAATTAAGAAAAAACGCAGATTGTGGGTCTTTGAGAACAAGATTCTGATACAATATTAGGACGTGAGTGATAAAACGCTGGAAGCAATTGTAAATAGAAGCTTGATAACTGAGAAAATATTCTCAGAATGATCAAATCAAAGAGGGTGACAGGGGCGAGAGATGAGAAATGTATACACATTTTTTATTACAGGACCTGAAGGAAATACGTATTGAAACTCATACGTTGAGAAGATGATAATTTTAAAATAATCTTAATGATAGTGTGGGAGGGATGGTCACTGAATTGATCTAGATCAGGATACGGACCAGCGTCGAGCTTTTTTTAACACGGTAACAGACCTTCGTGTTTTAAAACAGCGACGCATACTTGCCTAGATAAGCAGTAGTCTAGAAGAATTCTGCTTCATGAATTTTGTAGGATTTGAGGTTTTCACAGATGTGAGTCTGAAGATTGATTGCTGTCTTCTGGGTTATTGCTGTTTAGTCTGGTAGTTTACCAGACTAAACAGCAATAACCCAGAAGACAGCAATCAATCTTCAGACTCACATCTGTGAAAACCTCAAATCCTACAAAATTCATGAAGCAGAATTCTTCTAGACTACTGCTTATCTAGGCAAGTATGCGTCGCTGTTTTAAAACACGAAGGTCTGTTACCGTGTTAAAAAAAGCTCGACGCTGGTCCGTATCCTGATCTAGATCAATTCAGTGACCATCCCTCCCACACTATCATTAAGATTATTTTAAAATTATCATCTTCTCAACGTATGAGTTTCAATACGTATTTCCTTCAGGTCCTGTAATAAAAAATGTGTATACATTTCTCATCTCTCGCCCCTGTCACCCTCTTTGATTTGATCATTCTGAGAATATTTTCTCAGTTATCAAGCTTCTATTTACAATTGCTTCCAGCGTTTTATCACTCACGTCCTAATATTGTATCAGAATCTTGTTCTCAAAGACCCACAATCTGCGTTTTTTCTTAATTAAGAGTATCTTTCCCCCTTTTAGACAACAGCCGACAAGAGAAATTTTGTATGCTGAACAGTAGAAAACATTTTCCGAACTTGGTCTGCCTTTAATTTCTTCGTGATCGGTTTCTATTTCTTTTGAAAGTTGTTACATTTTCTAATAATTTATCAGCTACTATTTCTCATTTCACCATTCACAATAAAACTAATTTGGCACTCTAAATAACTAGGTAGCGTCGTTAAATAAACTAGGAAACAGCAACGCGAGATCCACCGCGATACAGAGCCTTCGTTGCTCAAATGATATTCACCCGTTGAACAAATTTCCTGTTTCACTGTGAACGCTCAAGATAGCATCTACCCACGTCCATATCATAAATACCACAAACGTATACACATTTCTTAAGAGGCTCGTGAAACTTGAACTGGCGGGTAAGTGTAGCTCGAAAAAGCCTGGCTTGCTGTTTGCTGGAAGCACGGCTGAGCGCTCCTATCGACTCTTAAGATTGAGTGGTTCCTGGGGCTACGAAAAGGAGGAGATGGGGGGGAAGGGCATTCATCAGTCTTCACCCGGAAGAAACGTTCGTCTACCCTTGATCGCTTTCGTATCACCTACTTTAAACAGCTCTTCTTGTGCTGTGCGGATTAATGAACAACTACGGCGATATCTGACTTCAAACAAATAATTTGATTATGCCAGTTGCTTACTTACATGTCTTGAGTCCCAGACTTGGAGTTGGTTAGAAGGGCGATTTGATAGTTACTTATTTTAATGTCGCCTTCATATTAATTGCAGTTTTTTCTAGTCTCTGTATTTCGTCTACTGCTTTATTTATCTTTCTTCATCATTCTTACTTCTTTTTGATCTCTTCTAGTGATAGGTCGTCTTTTCTCTGAATTGTCCTCTTAGCCTTTCATCTGTCTTTCCGAAATGTTATTCCTTGTTCTTCCTCTTACCTTCATCATTCGGGACTCACTCAGTACAGAGTGTAATGGTTGGATGTTTGATGGCCTATAGGGTAAGAGAAAGCATCTTTTGTATCAGTTGTATAACTGTTTATGAAGTGATGAGGAGATGCTGCTCCAGTAGTTGTGTTTTCTTCTCATAATTATTGTGTTTTCGAATGTTAGAAATTATTTAGCTTTTCGGCAAACATTGAACTTTGCAGTATTCAGGGTGAATATGTAATGGTTGGGCATCTTAGAAGCCTTACGTACATAGGGCAAGCGGTAGGTGGCAACAGCAACATTTGCCAAAACGTTGGATAAATTTTAACATCCGACGTGTATGAAAATACTTTTCCTGGTAATTGCCTGGAGGAACGCAGGGACACTATGAAATGCCTCGCTGAACATAATCGGTTCTCCTTGAAGAAATACAACAAACATCACAGCCTAGTGGCTAGTATTCCTGCTCCAACCTTACACAGTAGCGTCATGTTTTGTACTAATACCATGATGAAGTTGGAACAGCATAGTTAAAAACGAATTCATTAATCACCTAACGAGATCGATACTTGAAAGAACTGAGGTAACCTGTGACGTCTCGCAGGTCTGTAACATTCAAGCTACTGGTGGTTGAGTTACTTTTCCTAATTAATCATGTATGAAAGTGAACCTGATAGTGGGCAGTAAGCGCGTAACGACTTCACTGTTAGTTGGCTCCCTATGATCAGGGTGAACGCGGCAAAGAGAAAGTTTTGTTATAAAGAAGTTGGGCGTCCGCCCCTCCCCCATAACCAAACCTAACCTTCCCTTATAACACATTCGTTCCCTTCGTCCTAAACCATAAAGAGAATGTTTTGCGCGTGAATTTAATAAGGCAGAGAAGTCGGTAAAAGCTTAGTTGATGAAAGCTCCATGGATTAATTTACCCTTTTTAACGAGAGTAGAAGCATGAAAAGTCAGTGGCGCGTTACGCGAGGAGAGTGTAGCCATATTTAATATTAAAGAGAGAGAAAAAAACAAGTGAAACGGTGGGAGGGAGTGTTATTATACAATGCAGTCGCGCCTTTCAGGGTAAAAAAAAAAATTGAAGCACAATTTTCTAATGAGCAGGTATCAGTTCTCTTCAGGCTTGGGGATCACGGGACGGGCGAATTTCCTGCAGAAACGTAATGCTACAGTAATTCATGTACGTAGTACAACGATTCTCGAGTGCGGACAACAGGTATTTAATGAATAACACTAATAAAACAGAAATAATAAGATTTAGGGTCAACCTAAATTTATTTCTGATTTTGTGATTTTTATATTATTTTGAACAAATTGAGTACGGTGCGTAATATATTACCCATCAAGGTTAATCTCTCTCCTAGCATTTTCGCCATTCTACGGTTGATGTTGCA